GGGAGACCATGTGTTTATAACAAGAATCAGGAGGTCGATTAAAGCCAAGAAGTTGACTCGTCGATTCGTTAGTCCTTTTGAAATTTTAGAGAGAATTGGATCATTTGCCTACAGAATTGCTTTGCCACTGTATTTTTCTGGTGTGCATGACGTGTTTCATGCATCACAACTTAGAAGTGCCAACCAAATCCTTCACATATGCTAGAGCTAAAAGAGGTTAAGCTCTAAGAGAATTTGACCTATAAGGCTAAGCCAGAATGAATCATATATATGAAAGAGAAATAATTGAGGAATAAGAACATATAGTTGATTAAAGTTTTCTGGTGAGGCATAGCTCCTGGTGAAGCTACCTAAGAGACAAAGGATAAAATGAGGCAACAATATCCCCATTTGTTTCCTTAGGTATGTATTTTAATGTTTTATTCATTTTACTAGAAAAATTCTTAAAAGGAGGTAATAATTATAACATCCCAATTCTAATCATGTAATTAGTTGTTAATCAGGGGTAAAGTGATAATTAATAAAGGATTAGAGATTTGGATAATTAGTTATTGATTTGTGTCCTTTGAATGTTGAATGGATAGATATGGGTGGAAGGATTGCATTTGAGGTTAAAGCATGTATGCACAGTGAGGATGCTCCTCACTGTGCCACGCATTGTGGCACAAGCTACATGCACTATGGTAGTTAGACCAGAAAGTGACTTATTAAGTCATGAATTAGGTTTAATTTCTAAAGCGAGAAATAAAGAAAAAGTGAGAGGGAGAAGAGAGAAAGTAAGGGTTAGCTAGGGCAAGCATTTTTAGAGCATTAGAAGATACTTTCGATTAGTAACTTATCGAGTAAGCTTTATATAACCCTTACCTTTCATTTTATCTAAATTTCTATTAGCATGATTTATAGAGAAATTGAGTCTAGAAAATGTCTGAAGTTAGTTTCTTATCTCATAGTAATAAAAAGGTTCTTGAGAGTTAAATTAGAGCTTTGTGGATTGGTTTATAGTTTAACAATAGAGCTTTAAATCTATAAGCTCAATTTGGCCCTAATTCAAGGGAAAATAAGGATGAAGATTGTGTTAAAGCAAAATGGGATCATTTGAAGTGATCTAAAGTGGCAATTGAATGGTAATAAACCTTTGGCTAAGTGACAAGGAGTGAATGGCTAATTATAGCTTAGAGTAGTAATTATGTGCTTTTGGTCAATATGAACCAATTGATTAATTATGCCAATTGCGTGTACATTGGTATAGTCTTCATGTAAAGTTAGGAAGGAACTTGGTAGAGACGAGTAACAATTGAGAAAGTACTGCAGGTAACCTTTTTTGTGACAGAAGGGTTGAGGTAACTGAATAACTTCCTTTATTTGGCTATTTATTGTAATTGTCTGTAAGTATGCTATCTATTGCATAAAAATGTTCTAAACTGAGCATATTTTGTGGCATTGCATGGTTATTGAATGAAAATAAACTTTGATTGAATAAACACATGAAATTGTGTAGTTATGTATGTGTGCGTGCGTGCGTATATGTGGATAGTGGCAATTGGGAACTTATGATTGGCTCAAAAAGCATGATCATAAGGGTAGGAGTTTACTTGTATGGAGTATAGAGAAAGACCATATGGCAGTATTTTCTTTGGAGCTTGATAAGGTGTGATGTTGGAGAATTGTATCTCCTTAGTGCCTTTCGAGGTACAGTGTTTAAGATTATCTCCTTATTGCCTATTAAGATGTAGTGTTTGAGATTCATACTCCTTAGTATCAATGTGATGCTATGTTAGAGTCAACGACACCCTATTATGTGTATCAGGGAAAACCATAGCCTAAAAGTAAGATAAAACACCTTTAGTTAGGTGATTCTACTACTAAAGGTGAGCTTAGGGCCAATGAGAGTGTATATTGGTCTAAGGCGAGCCTAGAGTTTCAAATTGAGGTGATTTAGAGGTTCAATCTACAGTGATCATACTATATGTTAGAAAGTGGTGTGGTGAACTTACTTTTAAAAATGACAAAATGTTTGTATTTATGTGACTTGAAGTAAAACATGTGTTATATACTATATTAAATGTTATATTATGCTATACTTTCATATAGTTGCTTGTGATAGTTAATGGTAGAGAGTTATTTTGTTATTGAGATTTTTATCTCACCTCCGTGGTTACATTTTCCAAGACAAAGTAGTGAGCTAGGCAAGGGGATAGAGTTATGGATCGACATAGTGGTGCAATTATCGTGGAAAATCTCTAAGATTGTATAATAAACCAAAACCTCGTGATTAATGTATATATAAGTGGCCATAGGGCTACATGCATGTTTTAGATGCTTCAAGTTTTAAATATTGTGAATTTTAGTGAATCTTAACCGCTATGTGAAAATACATGGTGAAATGAATTGTATGGGCTAAGATTTAGTGGTGAACTTGTTATGAATATGTAAATGAGTGATTTTGTGGAGATTTTGTGGTGAAAAAGGCCTAGTGGGCCAAATTGTGCAAAATTGTGAAAAGTTGTGGTTTGTGAGAATTGGCCGTTGAACAACCAAATCTTGATATATATGTGTATATGATATATAATTTGGTCAATCAAGTGTAATAGGTCCTTTTGGACTTGATTCAAGACCTAGTAAGGTCTAATAAGATAATAGGATCGATTTAAGCGCTTAGGCACTTTAAATTCTCAAAAAAGTAACTTTTTACACCTAGGTGTTTAAATTTTGATCGGACCGTTAGATCATGTTCAAACCTATCTCATTAGTTAGCTTATGAGTCGAGCTTCATGTAGGTACTTGAATCACTTCAATAGGACATTGTATGTGAAATCGGCATACGCTAAATATTCATTATTTAAGTTATCAAATGACAACTGTAGAATCAAGCTTGTGCACCACAGCATATGGTGTATCACACTGTGATTTATGACACAGAGAAGGTTTGGGCTTGTGGCTTTGTGCCATATGTTATGGTGCATGGTCCCTAAATTGACCTTATTTCTTTTCTTTGAATGCATGCAATGATTGTTATAAATGCATGTGACTTGTTTCTGCTATGTAATACTCTGATGTTTTAAGATTTTTTATGATTTTACAAAAAGTGTCTTGAACCCAAGCTTTTCAATCAAAGTAAATCGATTACTATTTGATGTTTCAAGTGTGGTGATTAAGTTGACCCTTCCTAATATCCAGTGAATATTGAGAAAGGTTACAATATGCAGTATCCCATAAAGAGGATTAGCAGTATTAGCATATACGGCACTCTAATTATCATATTAAGGTAATCTATAGCCTGGAAGCTAAGTAAGGGTAGTACCTTGGCCAGGTAACTCCTCTACTAAAGGTGGATAGATCAACTAAAATAGGTTGTAGATTGAGTTGAGAGCAATGGTTGTTTGAATGGACATCTTAAGCATGCATTTTATAAAAGAGATATGATTTAGTGCATACATGTGTGTATGTATATGTATATATGTTAAATTATTTATAGCTTTGCTTGTTAATCAATATATAGATTATCCTTATTACTGAGATTTTTATTTCACCTCTTAGCTACTGTTTTACAAGTTTGAAGTCAAACAAAGAACAAGAGAAAGAGTTAGGGAAGGATTACTTTGTAACTATCAATTGTTATGGCCCACTTATTGTTGAATTGTGTACAATCATGTAATTATAATGCATTGTAAGTTGCCAATTAGGAATGCATATCATTTTTAGGGATTGCGCTTGTATGATAGTATATGTGTATTGTATTTTAGCCTGAATTTGTCTAAGTGGTGATTTTCATGGCAAATGTGCAGTGATGAGCTAAAATACTAGTACAAGTGCAAGAATATGGTATATATATAATGATAATGATAATTTGGTAATATTTATATGTGCTATATAATGATGATTTAGTCAAGTAGTGATTATTTATGGTTTTGTTGTAAATAGCCCTATTACATGAAATCATGCTTTAAGAAGCTAAATCTTGTGTTTGATGGATTATTGTAAGTGTAATTGCTCATTTAGGTTTATAATGGTCCCTTTAACTTAGCTCAAGCCTTAAAATGGGCTAACAATATTAGGTTTGTAGTTTGAACACTTGGATGCATCCAAAATAGTTTTAAAATTTAGCTTTTTACATTCGATTGATTGAAATTGACATACAATCTCAAATCATAATGAAACTCATACCATTAGTTAGATTTTCAAATAAACTTCACGTGGATGCTTGAGTCACTCTAGTCGAACTTCAAATATGAAAATGATGCATGTTTGGAGTTTGGCTTGATAAAGCTATTATGACAGCTTTTTGCTGTTATGAAAGAGCATGTGCACCACGATGCATGAAGCACATGCCATGGTGCATGCACAATATGCTTTAATATTTGTTCCAGAATGTGCCCACTGATGTTTTTGGCCTAATTTTCCTATGGTTTGCTCATTGTTTTATTTCTATGCTTCCTATGATATTTTAAACAATAAGTTTGAGCATGAACGATTAATTTTAAAGGGTTATGGGATCCCAATAATTTTCAAAAACAACTTTTCCATGTTTAATTGTTACACCCTTCTAGATTCGCTATGAAGCTTTGGAGCTTGATGCTTCCTATTGCCATTGTTGTGATTATTTAAGGTAAATATTAGTAATGCTAAGGCATACATTACATTGAGAAACCTCCGATGAACCAGCAGAAGGCCCTACACTAGCACTTGAAGCTGCACCATCTCTCTCACTAGGTTTCTCACTCAGTGTTTGATAAACAATGCCAATTTGCAACACTTGATCATCGACAATTTAATTTTTGACACAATAACATGTTTTACATATTTTGATGTCATTTCGTCAAAAATCAAAATGCCAAACATGTCTCTAGGGAGTAAATAATAAATATCACATTTTATCATACTTTATTGTAATTTACATATTTTGGGTATTTTTTTGGGGTATTCTGGAGTATAGTAATTTTTCTCCAAAAGATGGACACTAAATAATAAAAAATATAAAATTATTAACATGAATCAACAAAAAAATAAAGTTTATGAAATTGTATAATTATTCATTTTTTGAATGATATATTTTCAGACTTCATTCAACAAAGCAACAAAAAACAAAAACAATAAAAGTTAAATTTTCACTTGGCTGAAATTTGAGAAGAAACGACCTCCATCTCCTCCATCCACTCAGAATTAGGTTCACTCCAAGACCGTGGTCTAACCCCAAATTTGAAGTACACTATCATCTCCAACACTTCAAACACCTTATGCTTATCCAGAAACTCATTCCAAGCTCCACTCACAATGCAATAGTTTTCATTATATGGTGCCCGATGGTGGGTGGCATGTTGCGATCGTGACACCAGCACTCCGGTGTTTTGTAACGCCACCACGAGCGCCGGAAGCCGGCTCTTCATCCCGTGCGCCCATGCATGAAACTGCTGGCTAAACATAATGCAACCAGAACACGCCCCAACAAACCCAAGAACCGTAGGCTCATTACAAACAAGTCCAATAGGTAACACTGTGAATGTAACCGCACGAGCCAACGCATGCAAGTTGTTAGCAAATTGACGTCTTGTTATGGTCCATGGCCGCTTATGATGACCTTGAAAAGCCTCGATTTGAGGACCAAACACAGGTGTGGACTCATCTCCATAATTATCAATAGCCCAATGGTAAACCCCAGAGCCTAGATCGGCCAAAATATAGCCGACCCAACCGGCCAAAACCGGTTCGAACCAAACCTGCATGATGGTTGCTTGACTAATGCACTTAGCCAATGAAACAAGCACAGTGGTGCACCCGGCTGCAACCCAGGCTCGATGTGACCACGTTGATCGTAAACTTGGATCATTAGTTAAAGGATGGTTAATAACCACTGCTTTAGGGGACACAAGCTGATGATGTTCCACGACTAATTGTGCAGCATCGGAGGTCAACTTGGCAGTGGTGGAGGTAGAACAATAGACTCGAGCACCACGGCAGAGGAGGACGAGCGGGCGGCACACGGCGGATTGGTGTTGGTGGGGACTTTGTGGGTACTTGTGTGGGGCTAAGGTCGACATTGAGACGCGGAATATCATAGAGAATAGAAGACGTAATGAAACTGTTCTTGCGCCTAAAGCTTTTGTCAAACAGAGAGTTAATGAAATGAAACAGTGGGTTTGGTTGAAAGGAAGAAGAAGGGAAGAATGGGAGCAGGATGTGGTGGGAAAGAGGATTCGTGGAGGTTTTGATGTCTCTCATATTGTAATTTTAATTTGCGTCACACGTTTGTTTTGTGTTGTTGAATGTCCCTTTGGAGAAAAAGGGATGCTCTTTGGGGACCAGTATCTACTTGACGGCAAAACCACAATTTATGTTTATGTTTTTTAATTCGTTTTATTTGGATTCGGGACAGTCCATTCATTCAATTGATTGTTTCAATTATAAATATTAAATTTCATAAATACTTAAAAATTATTAAAATATATTTTCCTTTAAAAATACAGAACAATCCTCACTATTAGAAGACTCTTCATCCCGTACATAAATTTGACATTAATTTGTTACATTCTAAGTATTATGTGATAAAATTTCTGATAATCATGCGAAATAAGATATTCGTTGAACGCGTGGACTTGTTGCATTTGATTTTATTTTATTTTTTTGGTCTAAAATTCATCAAAAGAGGGATTTGATATATTTTCCCAACAGAGATTAACAATATAATACATACATATATATATATATATATAACCCATAAATATTGGCATACTTGGTAATGATTTAACCCATAATTCACAATCATTGGTTCAAATCATATTGTCGATATGATGACCTTGCTAATAAAAGAGATTCTAGTGAGCACTGGAGACCAAGCTCAAATAAAATTGTTTATAATATAATATATATCATCGTTTATTTTTTTAATACTGACTACCAGTTTCAATTTTTTATTGGCTTTTTAAACAATAAAATCACATTTTACATTGTTATTTGTTGTTTATTTAATTTGATCAGTTCCTTCTTTTTTTGTCTTATTAAGCAATCTACTTGATAAAATCTTGAATGTATCCCTTTAGTGATAAATTAGAAATATATATAAAATTTATAATATAATTTAAAATTCATATCATGCTATTTTCATAAATTATATATGAACAGTGGTGCTTAGACTTTTAAAAGAATTCATGTAACACAAGAGCCATGTTAATTTTAAATTAAAAAAGAAAGTTACGTTGATTTATAGTTTTATTTAAGAAGAGAAAAAAAAAGTTATGGACGGAGTGAAATGATATTAACTTGTAATTAGAGTTAGAATTTTCTCAACATATATAATGTTTAATCTGTTATAAAAGTATAAAGAGATGTGAACAATATAATAGAAGCAAGAGAAAAACGTAGATATAGGAAATAGGGAGAATTCACATATTCATGTAAATTTTGATGTGTATACAATCCTTTGTGCTAAGCCTCAATTTATTGGCCTCCAACCTTATACTCAAGAGTTAGAATTTCATAAATAGAATTATGGGTTAACGAACATTCTGGATTTTAGAGTATTACGTGAAAAACATCTTAAACCCTAAATTCATAAAATGTGTAAAATAAACCCTAAATTTCTAAATCTAGAGTAAATTACTCCCACCAGTAACTTAGAGATAATGTCATCAATGTTGACTTTGTAGGGCCTAGTCAAATACTGATGTGACATTTTCTTGTCGATATGTCATTAGTTAATGAGCACTATATATAGACCTTAAGCTATTGCGCAAGTAGCATTTTGAACTTTAAACTTTGAAATTCAGAGCAAATTACCCGTACCGTTTATGTGTAGAATGTTGACTGTTAAGTAAATCAAATTGGGCTCAATGTGGTCCAATCCATTTTAGCAAACGCATCATTGACTGCTGTAAACGACCTCTAATTTTGTAAAATGATTTTTTTGCCTTTCTTTTTTGCAATCTTTTCCAAACGATTGGTAGCTAATACTTTTATAAATTTTATAACTTTGATTTAGTCTTATTTTAAATAATGTTTATTTTTTTAATGGTGAAAATTTGGGATTTTGTTTTTAAAAAAAATTTAAACATCAAGTGTGAGTTAAGCAAGTATACCCCTCTTATTTTTTCATCTTTTTCATATTTCAAAGACAAGTAATAATACAAACACACACATATAATAGCCAAAACAATACAAACACACACATATAATAGCCAAAACAATATATCATTCACTTGGAGGCCCAAGTGCTTCCCCATTCACTAATGATCACGAATTTCAATCAATTGAAGTATTATCCTCAGGCTGCTAGCAAAGCAAAGCTCTAATACAGTTGCTTGCTAACATTCATACATATATCCATAGTATATATTCTCACTACTCACAATTAAGATATTCAATTTAATTTACTTTTTTTGTATATTCAAAGTATTAATATGTTTCAAAATATGAATATGGAAATATTTCAATTTCTTTGGTCACATATTTTCTCAAAAATTCCCTTATTGAAAATATAATCAATGTTCCTTGTATATGTGTGTATATATTTTGTAATATCCCAAAATCTATTTCTTAAATTAATAAATTAAAAAAATTCAACAGAGGTTGAAAAAATCCGTAATGACTAACATAAAAATATACTATAAAGATCAAAGTTCAAAGAATTTACATTTAATTTATGACATGTAGGGGTAAAATGAAAAGAAAAAAAGTTGAGAAGAATCTAAAAACGAATAAAATCCAACATATCATATACATTATAAAATTGAATAATTATTACACTCTTGAATTTAACTTGCAATACACACATATATAACTTCAAAATATCACAAAAATGATTTTGTTCATCAACATCAACTATCAACTACTCAATAAAATTTCTCATGATATTAAACAATTTCTCATTCTCCTTATTCAAATGTGATACACCTACATATTTTTTCTCAAGTATCACAAACAACAAGTTTAATTGCAATATATATGTATACTATCATGATAATTTTTTAAAAATAAAAAATAGGAATATGTCTTGTAAGCCTGGTTTAAAGTTCTTTGATGCACATTATCAAAGGCAATGCCACATAATGTCAAAGCTTCCGTAATTCCACATAACAATGGCTAGAAAACAAAGATTAAAAATGTTAAATAACATTTTAAAAGTAAAGTACAAAAGCCTGAATCAATCAAGGTAAGTGAAAGTTAATTATCAAATTTGTAGTGGTATCATGATAAATGTTTAAAGTTCAAACAAATAATATTTAATTTCCATATTTTTCAGTTTGAAAATAAATTGACACAATATATTAACATCATAATATGATCAATAATTGGTTTTTTTGGTCTATTTGATTCCATACCACTCTTGATATTTTTTTTAATATCTCATAATTGTTTTTGGATTTCATATCCACTAACCACTTTGGCATTTGCTTTCAATAAAATTGATATCCATTTGCTTAAATGGCTTCTAGCCATATTGTAATCATTTCTCGTGATTTGAATAACAATAGCAAAATATCATTATTTTAACATATATGGTAAAACATGTGTGATATGATCATAACAAAATAAACAATTTAATAAGTCTTCAAGACTGCTAATATTTTTCAATAAGATTCTTTTATATGCTATTAGCCTTTAAGATGATAGCAAAAGAAAAAAAAAAGAAAACTTTCAATGCAATCAAAGCTTTTTAGTGCAATCAAATGTTTGGATTATTAGCCTTCATGGCTATAGATTATAGCAACAATTTTTTTTATATTTATTAGAACTACAAAGTGATCTTTTATAAAAGGTCATTATCAAAAGTGATAAGGCTTCTAGCCATTTAATCACAAGATCAAAAATAATATGGTTACTGGTCATTCAAAAACATGAATTTAAAATATCAATAAATATTAAAATCACTATTACAGACTTGTAAGAGAAAAATGTAGATATAGGAAATAGGGAGAATTCACATTCATATAAATTTTGATGAGTATACAATCCTTTGTGCTAAGCCACAAGTTATAGGCCTCCAACCCTATATTCAAGAGTTACAATTTTATAAATAAAATTATTCTACATTATGGTCCAACATGAAGCCATTGGAGGTTATAGGAATAAACATTAGAAAACCATCCATTTAAGAGGTATATGGTATAATGACATTAACCATAAGATGGAATTCTAAGAGGCTATGAAGTTATGGACATTTACTAATCATAATATTGATAACAAATTTAAAATTTTAAAATGTGTAAAAAAATTCAAAAGTAAATGAGAAATTATGAAGTACGCATAATTCATATATCAATTTTGTGTCCATAAGTCTAACTAATGGATGCCATTTACTGGGGGTCGGATTTCCTCCCCTCTTGTGAGGGAATCCTGTACTGTTCTTTGGTGGAGGATTAGTGAAAATTTGACTATCCAAATTTAATATTTTTTATTTTATATTTATTAAAATAAAAAATTATAAAATTTATAAAAAAATCTAGTAAATATTGTAATTAGTTTGGACTACCCAAATTTAATATATATAATCCAAATTTAATATTAAAAAAATTATAAAAATTTTAATCTTAAATCTTGCACTGTCCAAATTATATCTAGATAATAAATTTATATAAATAATTTTTTAAATAAATATTATCACCAGTTTGGATATTTTAGATTTAATATGGATTATTCAAATTTAATATTAAAAATTTTCCGTCCAAAATGTATCTAGATAGTCAATTTACAAAAAATTTTATTATTAAATATAGACCATCTATATTAAAGCTGAACTAGCAATCAAATTTATTAAAATAATTCTTAATTTTATAAGTTTTTATATTAGTAAATATAAAATAAAAAATAGAATATTAAATTTGGATCATTGATATTAAATCTAAGCGGTACAAATTTTCAGCTGAGGGACGCTGGTGAGGGGAGCCGACTCCCATGTCTTGTTGATGGGAAGAGGAGAAATGGTGATCACAAAATGCTTGGTTCAACTAATAAAATATTAGAGATCTTGAGTTTAAATCTTGCACAAATGCAACCACGTTAAAAATACTTGGTAACAAAACTTTGTTTTCCTTTGTAGTCTGACCAAGCTCGATTTTGACTAGTTTGGAAGAACCTGTCTCTTGTTAAAGTGTGTCTGCAAGCTCATGATATACTGAATAATTCAATTAAAAAGAAAATGAGATGGTGAGGAAGCTTATGGTCATGGGGAGACGACTCT